CTGCTGACTCCATGAATGGAGAATCTGATTGGCATGCATATATCATTTCATAAGAGATACTATATCTATCCTGACTTCAAGTACTTACGATATAAAATGTAAGAAAATTCTTCCTATATATCAGTTCATTTAAATTCCAGACTTCGGAGATACTTAACACAAAAAGTAGATAGACTCTGCCCAAAGCTTTATCTATCCACTCTATTTAGTATAGTTAGCCAAACAAAGCCAGCATTGAATTATCAAAGGAAACAAAAAACTCATATTTCAGAAGCATTTCTGCATACATCGTAAAATTCCAACGAACATAGAAATGGAATATTAGTCTAGCCACAGATATGTATAAAGGACCCCAATCAAAAGAGTTGCTCAGAAAACGGTGGTCCACATATCTAGTCTGTAGATACTATATAAGCACATGCAAGAAGCTCTACAAAAATACTGGATAGAAATGAGAACAGAACCATACAGAAAAACAGGTTAGACACCATCCCATGGAGATGAGAAACCAGAAACCAATTTGTGAAAAAAGTCATTACATGTATGGTTGAAACAAAAACACCTGGTACTGATGGTAACCTACGTATCCCTGTTTGATCCATACTACAGATTCGTAGGTTGCTAAAACGACGTTTTAGACTCACCTAAAGTCAACCAAAGATCGACTATTATTCACTAATAATTAAATATCAGTTACAGCTTAAACTTACAAAAATCCAGAATGATTGGATGAGGAAGAACCAATCACTTTCTTGATGCACCTCCAGATCATCGGAAGTACTTATTCTCACAAATAAGCGCTCTATTAACAGTAACTCAAAACCATTATTTCTCATGCTTAACTTCATTATGAAATACAAATTATTTTTAAACTCAGCCAACTCAATCTATAGCTAGCCATTCCATTCCATAAAAAACAAATGCACAAAGAATTATTTACTAGTTTTCATCCTACTCTTCTCCTTTATGTTTCATCTAATTCTACTCTATTTTCAAATCTTCAATCAGCTCAGCTCATAAACATGGATCCACAATAATCAACTAACATAAAAGAATAAATTTCAATTTGAAAATTTTGCTTATATAATAAGGCTTCTTCAAGAGAAAACCCCTACTTTCTTATTTAACAGTCTGAAGTTTATCTAAAATCACACCAAAGTTCCCTGAATGTTGGAAGAGTAAACCGGCATCCAAAATCCTATCACTCAATAACTGTACCCAGTATCCCACAAAACCAACAAATCGAACACTAAACTACACAAAATTTCTCATTTGTTACTGTACAAACATAGACCGACAAGACCAGATGACCATAATTTTCCAATGAAAAAATCTTCAACCGTGAAGGCACAACACAATAACTGGGATAGCATTAACCAACCCTCTTCTGTGATTCACTTCATATCCAGATAAAAAAATAGTCAAAAGAAATGAGCAGGGTCAGATATCACCCGTGAAGGCACAACACAATAACTGGGATAGCATTAACCAACCCTCAGATTGGCACCAGAAACTACTCAATCGCAGATTCTCATACATCCAACATGAATAACCTAATAGCGATTGCAATTGAAACACCATCAGACCAAGAATTGGATAGAATCACAGCACAATCAATTGCGATATAATCTACACAATCATCTCACCAGAACTTAAATTCGGGGAGGCGGCGGACAAAGGGGCGGAACTCGTCGGAGCCGCGCGTGGGGAGGGCGGGGCCGTCGGTGAGCTCCTGCATCTCGGGGTCCACCTGCGGCGACAGGAAGGCGATGAGCAGCTGGAGGATGTAGATTCCGAGTCCGTATGTGATGATGTAGAAGCCCTGGACCAAGTAGATGCGGAGGGCGAAGACGAACGCGACCGCGGCGAGTGAGATCCAACGGTGCAGCACCATCGGCGTGGATTTGTCCAGCAGATGCTGGTAGCGCCGCCACACGGCGTGGCTGAGCTGAGTGACGGCGGAGGTGGTGGTGGTGTCGTCGCCGATGCCCGCTCCGCCACCCATATTCATTATTTTATTTATTTATGTTTTTGTTTTTTTGTTTTGGGGATCTATTTTTTATGTATTCATATAAACAGAGATCTCGGGAATAAGGGAGGAAGGAAACTGAGTAACGCCTCTCCTTTGACCCTTTTATTTATTTAACAAACGATAATATCATTAACTAACTCTTCAAAGAATACAATTGAGAGCATCTCCAATGTTATAAGTGTGAAAGACCATTATTTTTAACACATGTCAATTAGTAATTGTAATATTAATCCACATTGGAATAATGTTAAAAGACTAGAAATTTCAATAGAACTAGTATCTCCAATGCATCAATTTGATAAGAAGTTATTTGTATAGGTGGACCAATTAAATAATTCATTGATACAAAAAAAAAATAAAAAATAAAAACAAATATAAAGTAAATTGATGAGTCATCATGTTTAACATGGTGTTAGATATTAGAAAGTGTGCTCAACATTGTCAACATTAAATGACATCCACCTCATCATGAAAGAGTTCATGACAAGATGCATTGGAGAAAAAAAATAGAGACACACTTTCAAAAGTTGGTGATATGGATGACTTTTTATAGTGTCAAAAGTTGCATTGGAGATGCTCTGAATGCCCACCACATTATAAAACACTTATACATTTTTACTCCAAACAAAAAAGGTGAAAAAAAGCTCAACCGAAGAGATCCACTCGGAGCCACACACTAGAGAGCAGAACAGACACTACACTCCTCAATTAGAAGACCAAACCATTCCCTAAATGGGAGACAAAATACTCTCATAAGGAGATCAAAGCCAGAAAGCAGAAAGACACAACACAAAACTAACATCTCCCGTATGTTTTATTTAATTTACTTATTTTATACTAATGCAGAGCTCATGCAATGCACAGAGTTGACAAATTTAAGGCTATTTACCTAACTTTATTATTATATTCGTGAATAAATAAAATTAAATAATAGAATAAAAATATTATTATAATATTATTAAAAATATCGTTGTAGACAACATTTTTGTCCTTAGAGGCAAACCATCCTGTCGACAAACTAATATTTTCAAGTCATTTCGATTGATGACACAGGAAACAACTACTTACAACTGGCCGTGATTGAACGACAGACTTCTTTAAAAACATGTCAACATGTGATAAAGACCAACTTTGACTCTTATGAACCGTCATGACATACAAAACCATTAGGAGAAACTGCCTCCGCTAAAATTTGAAAGGTACTTTCAAAAGGTGTTAGAGTCATATGAGGTATCAATACCTTCTCTCCTACATTAATTCTAGTCAATACCTTACATTCAGCCACATGAGTTGAGAGATTTGTGACAACCAATCTCGTATCATTGCACAACCCCATAGAATGGCCAATGTTTCGTAGCAACATGATTGAGGTTCCTATCTTAGGGTTCAACTCATGGTTCGGGGGTGTGAAAATGGGACAAAAATCATTATTAGAATTAGATTTGCTACTATAAAAGCTAAAGTATGTTTGACCATCAGTCACGTTCAAAGACATCATGTACTCATTGATAGACTCAACCACCTCCAAGGTTGGGGTTAGTATAGCCCTATCCTTCAAAATAACAGGGATCGTCAGTTGCTCTCGAAAATTGTAGCGATAGGATCATCAGTGGGCTCCAACAATATATCATCATGTATGTCTATCAAGGCATCTCTACCATTGGATCTCCCAATGGTTCCATCTCTGATACTCGCTATCCAATTAACAAAAGTGGTCAGCTCATCGCATTCATCTGAATCACCAATGCTCTGAAGGCGAATATTTTTTGTAAGCCTCAACACAGAACAGTCAGCTCATATGTCGGAAGAATTAATTGCAGCATTCAGAATATCCTGACGATTCCCCTTTGAAATAACCAGGAGGATCGTCGGAAGTCCTCATCGTGAAATAGGATTTTCAAGTAATTCTTGTATTCAAGCTCGAATTTGTGTTCAATTATTCGAATCGTATGCAACTTCATGGGTAGCTTCTTAGTTCTAGTGACATCCTTGATCAAACTGAATTCGCACTTCATGTTGAATTGAATTAAATCAGTATAAATCATGTATTTGTGTAACAAAAAAATAAATCGAAAGTAGGATGAGTAGACAACATCTATCTACACTGAATTTATAGGGGAAAAAGAACAAAGTATATTTTAGATCAATTCCATAAATATTTGACATGAAAATATTTTAACAAAGGCAATAAATTGCCTATGATTCTTGTCAATGTTTAAACGTTCAAATAACACTCATTCTATTTTGTAATGACAAAGGTTTAGTGATGTAGGGGAAGTGTACGAAGGGGAAGGATAAATGAGAATTCAATCTCAGAACACGATAAAGCACGATCAATTTCTTATTCAAAATCAACCGAGAAGAATTAAATAGAAGGAGTCTTTTATATAAGGCCCCTAGAGCCTAAACGAACTTCTTCACCAAGAGTAAGTAAAATAACAAATAAATACTAAATAACAACAACAACAACAACAACAACAACAACAACAACAACAATAGTTCTTAAACTAATGGGACGAGACAATCATATTTCTCAAGATATGCCAACGCACTCTCGTCGGCATCATTTACTCTATGTATATCACACTTTTTTTGGTTAATCTGATGTTATTATATATTTTTCTGTATTTTTTATTTACATATTGCAAATTAATCAATTGGTGATTTGCAATGTGGTTATGTAATATTTGATTTTAGAATTTTTTGGTAGTGTTACTTTAGTTATTTGCTAATCAATTAATAATTTGATTATATTTGATATATTGAATCAATCGACAATATCGAAAAAAAAAAAATTATGTAGATCTCGCGTAATTTTTGTTTGTTTCATCAATTTGGTCATCGTGAAATGAAATTGTGAAAGTTTTTTGTTAAAGAATGATTAATACGATATACAATGCAATTTTTATATGGTCTCATTGGAATTTTGACTCCCTCTCCAATTTTTTATATTATTTTTTATAATTTTCATTATATAAATACATATTTAGTATTTTTTATAATATTTTATAAATACATATTTATATAATTTTCATTATATAAATACATATTTAGTATTTTTTTATAAAATACTAAATATGTATTTATACTATAAATAATATTTTATTTTGGTTCATTCGGATAATATAACAAATACCAATTATTTTGCTTCAATTTTGATTTGGAACAAATGGTCAGTCGGTTAGGTTTTTCTAAAAGTTCGACTAGACTAATTCAGTTTTGACATTTCGGTCGATTGGATCGACCAAACCAACCAATAAACAACCCTAATTGAGGTGGCATATCGGTAAATTTGTAAACTTGTAAATGTGTAGGCAGTGACAACTCTGTGATTTCATAAAAAAATGACGAGATTTTTAATGTGGATGTTCTCCTGCAATATTGTGCAATTTATGTATCTATATTGTTCATGTATTGAACTTTTATAAAATTACAGATTTACCTCACATACTAAATTGTAATATATTAAAATTTATGAAATTGCAATTAGGTCTCTAAGACATCAATTTTTTTTTTTAAAAAAAAAACATCTCGAAAATTGTTCTCGGCCGTCTCTCACATGTCAATCACCACCTTTGCCGCCTGAGATCCGCCTCGCTATCTCTCCCTGCCGCCGACTACGTTCGATTCGATTCCACTCCCTTGGCCTGAACACCCATGCGATCGTCTTCTTGTGCTCGTCAATGTAGGCACAATTTAGCAGCACGACGACGACATTCATCAAGAGAAGTTAAGAGAATTTCTGGCCGATGGTGCAGCAGATGACCGACGTGAAGCTTAGGTTGGGCGGTGCGACAGAACTAGCTTCCGCTTGGGGCGGAGTGGTGGAACTGGACGGCTACACGTCGGCTTTACCCCCAGAGTCTTCTGTGTCGCATGTGTCTCCGTTGGCGGACGGCGGAGATGCGACTGCAAGGCTGGTGGTGACAGGCGAAGGAGGAAGGTTGGTGGCGACGGACTGTAACTTATGTGTGTGTGTCTGTGTGTGCACTGAATGTGTGCGTGCGTGAGGTGTGTGTGTGTGTGTGTGTGTATTTGTGTGTGAGAGGGTTGGTGGGTTGGGGAGGGGCCTAATGGCTGGGTTGTAATTGTTGTAATGACCAATTTATATATTTAACCACAATATGTATATTTATTTGCACTATTGTTACTGCATATTTAACAATTGTTTATTAAATTTTGACTTTATCATGATTATTGTTATGATGACTCCAATACTACACAATTATTCTTCTTTTTTTTTTTTGTTGGGTGCCTTATTTTCATTTGAACCCAATATATAGATATAGATTCCCAAAACGTTACCGTAAAATATGTGGCCAAAATTCACTAACGATCGGACTAAATCCAAATCAGGCAAGATAATATTTATAATTTTGGTAATAATTCAAGATCATTTTTATAGAAAAACCATGATCATTGTAATCATCCCAAAATTACTTACGCAGAAAGCAGATGAAATAGAAGGAATCTATAGTAATATAAAGAGGTTGTTGAAAAAATACAAAAATAGTAACTTTGACTTAAAAAATAAATTGCAGACTTACTACTATAAGTAATATAATGGGCTCCACATGTCAAAATGATTTTTATATAATTATGTAATTACTATGCAAATCCTTTTAGCGAAATTTTGTTCACATTTATGGTAACAAATATGATCGTGTTTTGTTACAAATCTTTTATCTGATCCGATTTTGCTAACTGATTCCATAGTAATTTACAGAACATATCTTGCGGATATGATCGCATAAATATCGCACGCAAATTATAATCTTGAGGCGATTTCCAAAACATAATCGTATACTATGTATTTGTAACCTTAATAAATTAAATGTCATTTGCAGAACACATTGTCTTTTTTTTTTTTTAATTTCGAAGTTATAAAAAGTTGTTACAGAAAGACTATTGGAGAATATTATTATTTTAATTTAAGAATCTACAGTAAAAAATACACGTTTTTTAACTTAGAATAACTCTATTTTTATGGTATTTTAATATATAGATACCAAATAGATGAATGAATCGCATATTTCTATATTGATTTTGGTAACAAAATATACTCCAAGTAATACTTTTTTTTATATAAAGAATAAAGAATTATACCATCTTATATATTATTTCCAAAATCGGATCTTATAGTTACCTTTAAAAAAAATTATTTAACAATTAATGGAATCACATCATAGAATTTGTAAAGTAGAATCTTATAATTGGGGGAAAAATACGTACATGTAGAATGATGAACTTTTCAATCGCTATGAAGACATGGAGTAAGCACAGGAAAAGAGATGTGCCTAAAGAAAACATCAACACACAGGTAATAAATGGAAAAATAAATTAAACAAACCAATATGATGTATGTTTGACATGTGATGTTCATATATGTCCATTACTCTGACAAATGTATTGAACATAAATATAAAAACAGATAATCTGCTTGTGCAAACATTTTTATGCATAATGAATATCAAATTAGATGGTAAATGAATAAATGTCATACCTTTCTTATTTCTTTGTAGCATGCCATCAATCTTATTTCGATTGCAGTTTACCTTTTTTTTTTAAGAAGTGTACCTGTCAATGCATTATGCTCTTTCCCATATGCAAATTATCATTCTTGCCTTGCAACAGGGCCCCATATTCATGCATATAAAAAAACTAATAGTTAGTTAAATAAAATAACATAGAGTTTATATATTTATAAATTATTAATGATTGTTAAATTTATATTGATTGGTATTACCTTTTTTTTTTCTAACAAACTTTAGATTGGTATGATTTTCCTTTTAAATTTTTTAGGAAGCAAAACTAATTTCAATTAATTTAAAAAATATGAATGCCATAAGACTTCCAATTTTTTTTTAAATATAAAATGGAATACCTACAGTGCAAATAGTGTATAATTCCTAACAAATTTTTCCAAAACCGTATTTTTTTATACATGGATACGAATCTTGATACAACTAAACTATGGGGTACACAAAACCGAAAATATTCATGCATATCCACAATATTTTTTTATAATTAAACTATTGGATACAAAATTTGATCCATGAATGTGTTGATGTAAAAACTAAGATAAAGTCAAGTAGTTCATTTGTGGTTAACACCGACATTCAAGAATTTAAAGGAGTGTTAGCTATATTGATTATCTCTATGAATGTGTGGAGATAAAATCTAACTTTCTTATTAGTTTTTTGAACAAGGATAGAATTATTACCTTTTTGTGTACAGTGCCCACGAATTCTTCACACCCTAGCCCTTGCTCAACTCGGAAATCAGATGACAATAAACAAAATCACATTTTAATTGAATTTCATAGTTATATGTAATGAAAGAACCAGAAAAGAAAACATAAAAGTAAAAGCAGTTCTCATAAAAATGGAAATGGAAAATAAACATATGTAACAGTTTACTTTTTTGTTTTCATGTAAATATTATAACAATTATTTGTAAAAATATACAAAAATGCGAAAACAAATACATAACTTATGGTTTGTTTGAATCTGTGGTTTATTTATCGGATATATTGAACAGGGTTCAATTCATATATCTCAACTTTTAGACGTTACGAAAATAAATTAGAAGAAAATACATATTAAATTAAAATATGAAGAGGTCATGACATTTGGGATTTTCTTAAGGCAAAATTGCATATAAAAGCACCACCTTTTATGTTTTTGCATTTTAATCACGACCTTCTCATATTAGCACTTAAGTACATGACCTTTCATCTCTTTGCAAGTCGAAGCACGACCTTCATCTCCGGCACCAATTAAATGACGTGGCCTGCCAGAATACACATCTGGAATTTAAAAAAAGCGAGAAAAATGCCAAAATAAAATCCACGTCGTTTATTTGACACGTCGGTTGCACCAAAAAATTAAAAAACGAGAATCTAAATTCCACGTCGAGTGCAGAAATCTTAATATATGTCACCCTCTCATTCTCTATCGTTCACAAACAGAACCATAATTTTCTTCTTCAATTTCTGTGAATATGGCAATAATGGCAAAGTTCTTGTGAATCAGATGCTCTTCAATTTCAGTAAACATTCTCCACGGCTTTGGAATTGCACCCCAAAATTCCCAATTCTTCTTCATATACGAACCCTAATTGTGTTTTTCGAAACCCCCAATTTGTCCTGAAAATGTCGAGCGGATCTAGCAGTCGAACCACAATTCTTCATCCTCCTACTTGTAAACATGGTCAAGCGGAGCTACTGACCTCGAACACGGATAAAAATCCAGCTCGGAGGTATTATCGCTGTGTTGAGAGAAATGTAAGATTTTCTTTTTTTTTTAAAAAAAAAAAAATCTGTTCTGTCATTGTTCATTCTATTTTTTGGCTTTGTGAATATGTGCTCGGATTATGATAATGTGTTGTTTTTCTGTGTTTGTGGTACAATGGTTGAGTGAAGAAGTGATACATTGCCTGTATATTGATATTTTTTATGCAATGGTTGACTGAAGAATTGGGCATACTTGAATTCTATTTTTTGGCTTTGTGAATATGTGCTCGGATTATGAATAATACTGGATTAGCTCAGTGTATTCTATGCATACTTGAATTCTATTCTGCATACTTGGGATGATGGAATTTTATCCTGCGCAGACTATCATATTCAATGCCAATTTCCATACTAATTTCCCTATTTGTACATTAAATCACATATTGAGATTCCCTAATAATGCAGACCAATGATTGCAAATTTTTTGAGTGGCATGATGCTGAGTTGCCACCATTTCAGAAGGCTTGCTTCTTGAGAATGAAGGCTCAAAAGAACTTGCTAGAAGAGCAATTGAAATGTAAAAGTATCTCTGAAAGTCTTATGTCTGAAAGGCTAGAGATCAAAGAAAATGAGTTGCATCAGCTGAAGAACAAAATTCAAGAGTTGGAGATGAAAGAAAATGAGTTGCATCAATTGAAGAAGAAAATTGAAGAGTTGGAGCAGAATGTGCATAACCATTCAAGGAGACTGAAATTTGAGAGAAATGTCTTTATGTTATTTCTGTTTGTGTTATTTGTATCTATGTTCATTGTTAGAGACTCTGGTAAAGGTCAATTAATGTTGAAGTAGACTTTTGTGTTGTAGGGGACTTTGAAACATTGTACCTTTTGTGTTGTTTGGAAAAATTATCAATGTTGTCTGATTTGTGTTTGTAAGGTCAATTAATGTTGAAGTAGATTTTTGTGTTTTAGGGGACTTTGAAATATTGTACCTTTTGTATTGGTTGGATAAATTATCAATGTTGTGTGATTTGTGTTTGTAAAGACATGGACAACTTAAATGTTGTGTGAAATTTGTGTCTGTCCTGTAAGCACATGATATGCTTCTTTAAACATAACCAATACCATTAATAAAAGCCCTGCACCATGCAATTTAAACACACAATAGCAACTGATAAGATTTCTTGGCATAAACATAAACAACAACATTAATAAAGGTCTTCAAACCATGTCATTCAAACACACAAGATTCTTTACAAAAGAGCAACTGAAATGACATAAACACATTAATTCCTTACAACTGAATTGACAAAAGAGCAAATTCATGTTTGACACTTCAAATTTAATTTCCTACATACTGAATTCCACAAAAGATAGCACCTAAACAAATGGTGCAATACAATATCCATGGTCTTCATGACTTATCCAGATACATTGCACTTCCAACATCAAAATGCCAAAAAAAAAAAAAAAAAAAGAAAAAAACTACTTGGCGACACTTTCTTGTGTTCCTGCAATGTCTCCTCCAGGTTCTCTTGTCACTTGGCTAGTCCCTCCAGTTGAAGACAAACAATGAACTCTTTTGTCACTTGACATCTAACATATTAAAAAATTAGTGTTAATTAGACCTTATAATGCACCATTAATTTGTATAAAGAAAACTACTCACTGTTATGTAAATTGCACCAGTTTCTTCAGATTGGTAAACACCATAACCCTTTCTTGCCTGCATTAGATACACAACAAATCAATGAACAACACTTATTTAAGCTTATTACTAATGAAAGTGGAATTCAGACAATCCTCATAATACCATTGCTCTATCCTTGTACATTTGCCCCTGGCCAGATTGTGTAGTTCTCTGTCTAACTGGCATTTTCCTCTTTCTGCCTTCCATAGGGGTAGATTTTTCTTTTTCTAAATGGCATGTTCTGTCATTCTGAATTGCATCAGGAACCTCATTTACAGGAGGACACATTCTGTCCTGTAATCTCGGCCTTCCAATCTTTTTCTACAATTCAAACAAGCATACAAATGCTTTAAGATTAAGATACAAATAAAAAGGAGAAAATCAAGTATAAATGCAACAATTAATACTCACCCTTGGTGGCTTAGGAGCAGCTTCATTTTTACAGGTTCTTTTGTTGTGACCAACCTGCAAGCACTTCTGGCATCTCATTTGCAAGCCAAATCTTTTCAATGTTGTAGCACTCTTGGCTTCTTCCTCAGGTGCTTTTCTCCTTACAATCTTAGGTCTTCCTGGCATTCTCTTATATGGAGGTGGTTTTACCTTAGTACCAAGTGCAGAAGGCCACATTTTCTTGCCATTCAAGGGTTCAAGGGCAGGTGAATATGCTTGCAGATATCTATCTGTACTGAAGTATGGGTTCACAAAATCTACCACATCTCTCTTCATATAGTGTATTGCTGAACAAGCATGGGTACAAGGTATACCAGAAATATCCCACTCCCTACATGTGCAACTTAAATCCCTCAAATCAACTACAAACTGATCATCATTAACAGCAACTTGAAACTTGTCACCCACAGCAGGCTTAGTCACACAAAGTCTACTTTTAAATTTAGCCTCCTCAACTTTCTTCCTAATCCTAGGACAGATAACATCAGTGCACTCATTTGTTGCCATTAGCTTCTGGTGGTGTCTCTCCATCACATATGTCCTAATGAGTTCCAACATTTCCACTATTGGTTTTTTCCTAGCCTTAACTATAGTGGAATTGAAAGTTTCACAGACATTATTACAAATCATATCACACTTAGGCATATCCATAATGAAAGCCTTACAGAATCTGAAAGTCTCCTTTGCCAAAAGATCTTTACATGCTTCAGGGTCCTCTGCCTTTAGATCATCAACAGCTTCTTTGTAAGCTGCTTTGTAAGTGTTGTTCACCACTTTCCAGTAGAGATGCTTCAGTACTTTTCCAGGATGTTTTTTTTTCCAGTTCATATACACATGCCTTGCACAATTCCTGTGCTCAGCATGTGGAGTGAGTTCATTTACAGCAGCAATAAGTCCCTATATAGAAAACAAAACAAAATAGGAATAAGATATCTAAAAGTGCCTATATATAAACAAAACAAATAAGTAAGTTCATCAAAAGATAAAAAACTGATTACCTTTTGTTGATCACTAATGAAAGTCCAACCTAAACCATCCCCAATGCCAAGGTCCTGAAATAAGATATCTAAAAACCACTTCCAGTTTTCTTCATTTTCTGAGTTTGCAACAGCCCAAGCTATAGGAAATACTTGATTATTTCCATCTTTTCCAATAGCACACAACAAAACACCCCCCAGAAAGGTCTTAAGAAAACACCCATCAAAACCTATCACTGGCCTACAACCTTGCAAAAAACCTTGTCTTAAAGCACTAAAACCAATGAAAAAGGCCTTGAACACACTACCCGTGGCCAATAGGAGTTCAAACCTACCATTTCTATCAACCCTCTGCAATTCTGCAATGTAGTTCCTCAAACAGCCATAGTGCTCCTCTTCTGACCCCCTAAGCATCTCCAAAGCTTTGTACTTGCCTCTGTACAATTTCCACTTATTTGGTTGCACTGCATATTTTTCCATAATTTGGTCCTCCAAATCAGCCACTTTCATCCTTGGTTTCTTTCTAAACTTATCTAGAAACTCTTTAGCCACCCAACTAGAAGTTACTTGCCTAGTTTTGATGTCCCTATAACATGTGTGCTCAGCAACAAGGGTCTTAATGGCAATTCTTCCTTCTCCTTTGATCAAACTGGCATATAGTTTCCAAGGACAAGGCTTCTGACACCTAGCTTCTACTTGTTTCTCATTACTTCTCCAAAACTGAATGTTGCAGCCATTATAAATAGCATGAGTCTGGATGGCATCTTTGCATTGAACAATACTATCAAACCTCATTCCTAAAACAAATTGCAAATCCTTTTTATCACTCTTGGGATCATATATAGCACACTTCTTCCCTGACTTACTCACACCATCACTATCAGAATTCTCTGAATGAGTTTTCACAGAACCATCAGAATCTTCATAGTCTGACTCAAATTCACTGTTAGGTCCATCAGAAGCTTCATCTTCATGAACAAAATCTGTAGGATTCATACCATCTACACCTTGACTTTTTCTGAATATTTCTCTATCCTTTCTGGCAGATAGGTATTCTTCATCATCTGTCACTAGATCACTATCAGATAGGCCATCATCACTGGAACTGTCTCCAGATGGTTCATAATCATCATCAGTTGAATCACCACTGAGGTTGGCATCATGTACACTCTCAGTATTCTTTTCAACTATTTCATTGCCTTCATCAACATACACATAGATAAACCTTTTTGGAGGTAGTAACTTCACCATACTCCTCATATCACTGTCACTAGAAATATCTGTAAATACATCTTTTCCCGGAATCTTGTAACAGATTTTCTTCCAGTCCTTGTAACCCAATTTCTGTATTTCTCCTTTCAAGTGAATGTAAGAAAACTTATCTGGTTGCAATCCATGTATGGCACACAGGTCACCCCCATAATAATCGAATAACCCATCCAAGCTGAGAAACTTACCACCATGATTCAAAAAAATTGTATACTTACTGCATTGGCAAAGGAAAAAAAAATGTTTAGAATAAGGATTATAAGGCAAAAATCCCTAATTAAAACAAAACTTTGAGTTTTGTATCCCTAATCCCTAAAAAATTCTAATTGACAGAAAACCCTAATTATGTATTTCTAATCCCCAAAAATCCCAAATTGAAAGTAAAACCCTAATTCTGCATCCCTGATCCTTAAAAAACCTAATTTAGAACCATAAACCCTAAAATTGCAAAACTGTAAGCCAAAATATCTTAATCGAAACCCATAATTAATAAAATATATGTATCTAAAAGAGATTATAGAATTCAAGGAAAAAACAAATAGCGAATTTCGTATAGAATATTACATAGAAAGATTACCTGTCTGCCATTCCTTCATCAACTGTTCGGTATTGGGACCACATTGGTGATTTTCATATAGAATAAGGCCGATTTGTCTAGGATTTTCAGTATTCAAGCCTTGGATTTGTCGATTTTGTCTTTGAGATCTGAGATTGCCTTTACAGAGGATTTTTTAATGTTTCATTCCTCTTCAATTTCGGGATTTTTATTATTTCTGCACTCGACGTGGAATTTAGATTCTCGTTTTTTAATTTTTTGGTGCAGCCGACGTGTCAAATAAACGACGTGGATTTTATTTTGGCATTTTTCTCGCTTTTCTAAATTCCAGATGTGTATTCCGGCAGGCCACGTCATTTAATTGGTGCCGGAGATGAAAGTCGTGCTTCGACTTGCAAAGAGATGAAAGGTCATGTACTTAAGTGCTAATATGAGAAGGTCGTGATTAAAATGCAAAAACATAAAAGGTGGTGCTTTTATATGCAATTTTGCATTTTCTTAAAGATCCTACACTTAAAGACCTCATTTGAAAAGAAAAAAAAAATGAAATGTGATCCCAATTTACTGAGTCCACCTAGATCTTTAATTGTTTTATTAAATACAAAGAGATTTGTAAATATAATTCATACTTGATTTATGAATTTTATGTTTTTCGACTCAAAATAATGAGTAATTCGAATGAAATTCGAAAAAATTAACCAGATCCGTACTTTTTTCAAAAATAAATTTATTAAATGAGGTCTAAATTGATTGAATCCACCCAGATCTGCAATTTGTCGAGAAAAAAACAAAGAGATCGGTAAAAATAATCAATACTTCATTTCCGTTTTATTTTTTGACTCAAAATTTTCGGAATATCACTGAAGTCGAAAAATTTAACCATGTTTGTACATAATTTAAGTTATTTTTTTATATACAATCAAAATTCCAACTCTTGATTCAGTTTTTTGTGAACAACGATTGAAATATTGAAAATTATGTTCGTATTATAAAAATATTAAGAACGTAATTTGGAATTCATAGAATTCATAGAAAAAAAAACACAGCTTAACATAACCAAAAATGAAGAAAACTTGAAAAAAAGGGCGACAAAATTCGATCTAGAAAAAACATATATACATGATCCACGATAGATGTGGATTTCGTTTTTCGGTCATCGATCGAATTCCTAAGTGTATAATCGGCAGCAAATCTATAGTCTATAGTAATATAAATAGGTTATTGAAAAATACATAAATAGTAACTTTGACTTAAAAAATAAATAGTTGACTTACTATTAGTGGTATTTTTGAAAAACACATTTGAAAATTTAATAACTCAATTTAATTCAAGTAGTCCGGATTTTCTTTCCATAGGAATAGAAATCACGTTTTTTTTTTTTTTTATTATTATTAACAAAATTGTAGAGTCTTATGCCAAAAGACACGTTCTAATCATCTTAAGGAAACTAAATCAACATCAATTCATTTTTTTGCCAAAAAAAATATATATAATATATATATGTGTGTGTGTAAATCTTAAAAAAATCTAGCCTTTCACTATCCGTTATTTGGTTAGTCGTGTATTTTAATAATATATTGACAGGATCCTAACACATAATAAATCTTATTCATTTAGTTAATTAGAATCCTAGAGTATCTATACTTTCTGATATTACTGATAAGTTAACAAATAAAATTAAGAAATAACAATTTGGAAACAACATACTGGAGACTGACATAAATCTCAACCATTTTAAAATTTATTTATCCTATAAATTACGTATAATAGTATATGAAGAATTATTTGTCCATATTTCTACAACACAACCAATATGACCTCCACGCAGTCTGAGATGAATTTTTTTCTCCAATATAAATCACTGTTGAATCCTCCTACAATCTGATTAACCACATAGGTGCAAAGTAGTAAAATTTCTATGGCATCAATATGTTTTGTTTATGGTTTGCAATTCTTACTAGAGTTTTATGTTTTATAACTTGGCCAAATCCATCCCAGTTTACAAATTTTTGACACGTTGTGTTATACTACACAATTATTTGCAAAAATATCAATTATGAGGAAGATAA